CGCTTCCCCTGCTTGTGCTCTCTCTCTCTGACAAATAAATAAATTAAAAAATCTTTTACATTTCCATTCAGTTCTGAAACCACAATCAAGTCTATGTATTTTATTCAAATGTTGACTCTAAACCTGAAAATGGATAAACGGTCTTTTTTTAACGACCATATAAATATTGCTCACTTTAGGACCGAGCATTATATGTGAAGATTATATATTTTTTTTGATGTCCAATGTCATGACCAAAAGGAATTCTCTCTTCTTTATCTCATCGGTTGTCTAAAACCATGCTACATTTTAGTTTCATTCATATTATAGAAACAAAATAATATGAATCTCCTCTTCAATCAAGAAAAATGTGGAATCATATGGGGCGCCTGGCTGGCTCCGTCAGTAGAGCACGTGACTCTTGATCTCAGGCTTGTAAATGAGAGCCTCCCGTTGGGTGTAAAGATTACTTAAAAATAAAAACTTAAAAAAAAATCACAAATGTGAATCTCCCTTTCTGGGATCAGCTTCCATTCAAGAAAGCTGTGAAGTAATTATCTTGGACCTAACATCTTCTGCCAGGCCCTCTGTGATGAATTGCTTCTCTTTGCTGATAAGGGAGGAATGTAGGATATTTATGACCCATGAAACTACCTAATCAGGTTAGAACATACGAATTAAAACTTGCTCTGCTCAATAGTAAATGGCAGATTTCCTGGGTTTCTTTTTTTTGCCACTCACTACAAAAAGGAGAATTGCTGGACGTTGTTTTATTACTCTTCTAAACGTAAGCCTTGGTGATCGTTAAAATTTTAAAACATGTTTTGATTACTGTGAGAGGTCATAAAACTTGACTGTAGGAGAGATTAAGTGTTGATTAAAGATTGAGGATTGAGCTTATTGTTAAGCATTTTATTTGTAACTGAACTCAAAATGAACTTAGTGGGATTTAAAAAATTATTTTCCCACCCAACTAAATGGTTTTATTCTCTAAGACTCTAAATGGCCAGAATCACTTTCAGTTGTTAAGTCTGCTGCTGTGATTTGAATTACTACTTCTTAGAAAAAAAAATTTTTTTGGATGCAATTTGCATACAGTAAAATTGACCATTTTAAAGATTTTATTTATTTTTTATTTATTTGAGACAGAGAGAATGAGAGAGAGAGAGCACATGAGAGGGGGGAGGGTCAGAGGCAGAAGCAGGCTCCCTGCCGAGCAGGGAGCCCGATGCGGGACTCGATCCCGGGACTCCAGGATCATGACCTGAGCCGAAGGCAGTCGCTTAACCAACTGAGCCACCCAGGTGCCCTAAAATTGACCATTTTAAAGTATATAATCTGGTGAATTTTAGTACAATTTTAGTGCCAGTTTGTACAATCCTCACCATTATCTAATTCTCACTGAATGGTCTTGTTTTCAAATTTTGATTAAGTTAAATCTGTTACCACTTCATCTTTCCATCTAGAAATGTGATGGTCAGTCATAGCTAAGCTTTTTTTTAAGAATTTATTTATTTATTTTAGAGAGAGAAAGAGCGTGCGTGGGGAAAAGGGCAGAGGGAGAGGGAAAGAGAGGATCTCCAGCAGACTCCCCGCTGAGCATGAAGCCCGACACGGGGCTCCATCTCACTGACCCTGAGATCATGACCTGAGCTGAAATCAAGTCAGACACTTAACTGAGCCACCCAGGCGCCCCTGTCGTAGCCAATTTTTAATGTGTCTCGAAGTCCTTTTATAATCAAAAGAAGGGGATTTTTTCTGCTAACTACTTCATTTAAAAAGTTACCAGATAAAGAACACCTCTCCAAGGGGTGTTTGGACAATGTCTGGAAAGGGAGTGGTAGTTCTAGAACAGTCTGTCGTCGTGATTTTCAGGCTCTCAGATGGGCTGAGAGGCCAATTATTTTTTACTTTTTCCACTCTGGGAAAATAACAGCTTTTTGTGCTTTTCAGGTTCTCTCTTGGGAAAGAGGATTAATGGACTTACTTCTGAGCATTATTGATCTATCTCTCATCTGGGAATATTTGTGTCTCTGTGACAGTGTTTTAAGAACACAAATAATATCAACATTACAGGATAGTTGTTTTGATGTGTATCTTTTGTGTCCCTGACTAGAAAAAAAACTCCTTAGGGCAGAGAACATGCCAGACCTTCCTTCGAAGTCTTCACAGGAGCTCACACAATACAAGACCCAGAGCTAGCAAACACGAGTGACCTTGACGTGCTGCTCTAGACTGGCTTGTGGCTATCTCTATATTCTGGGGAAAAAATGCCTCTGTTTGAGTTCTGGTTCTGCTATTTACTTAGTGGTCTGACATTGGAAAAGTTATTTTAAAATCTCAGAACCTCACTTTCTGAACTGATTTTGAAAAATGTTATACATCTTCAAAAGCAGATGGTAAAATGAATTCCAAATGCACCCATCATCCTCAATAATTTTCAACATGTGGGCATTCTTTATTCTATATGCCCATCTATTTCTTACGCACTGTATTGCACACTACCATTGAATTGTTTTAAAAATTTATTTATTTGTTTTTTTGTGGGGGGTGGGACGAGAAGCAAAGGGAGCGGGAGAGAAAGAATCTCCAGCAGACCCCCCACTGAGCGTGGGGCTGGATGCAGGGCTCGATCACATGACCCTGAGATCATGACTTGAGCCAAAATCAAGAGTCAGACACTTAACCAACTAAACCACCTAGGTGCCCTCTCACTGAATTATTTTAAAATGAATCCCAGACATCGTATAATTTCGTCTCTAAATATTTTAGTATATATCTCTACTATACAAAGATTCTTTTTTTCTGCTATAGCCATAATATCATTGTCACACCTAATGATGTCATCAGAAATTCCTTAATATTATCCAACTTTTGCACTTGCTTACATTTCCCTGACTTTCCTCTCCTCTCTTCTCCATCTCATTCTCTTGGATGATGTTTTATAGCTGGTTTATTTGAATGAGGATCCAAATAAGATCAACTCATTTATTTGGTTGATTTGTCTCTTTAGTCTATAAGTTCCCCTTTCCTCTTTTCATCTTGTCATTTTTTTTTTTTAAAGATTTTGTTTATTTATTTGACAGAGAGAGAGACACAGCGAAAGAGGGAACACAAGCAGGGGGAGTGGGAGAGGGAGAAGCAGGCTTCCCGCGGAGCAGAGAGCCCGATGCGGGGCTCGATCCCAGGACCCTGGGATCATGACCTGAGCCGAAGGCAGACGTTCAACGACTGAGCCACCCAGGCGCCACCATCTTGTCATTTTTTCATTGAAGAAGTTGGGTCGTTTATCTTATACAACTTCCCACATTCTGGACTTTTTCTTATTGCAGCCACATGGTACAGTTTAATGAGTTTCTTCTTCATCTCCTGTATACATTGGTAGAGCTAGAGGATCAGATTCTGCTTGAACTTCTTCTTAAGAGAATACATCACAGGTAATGTATACTCCAGTCTTATTGCAGCTCATCAGGACCACGTGATATCTGATTGTCTCTCTTTTGGTGGCATTAAGATTTGTAGATGGCTACAGGTGTTATCAGTCTTATCCATCTCTTACCCATTTCTTCATCAGCCTTTCACCTAGTAGTTTATCAGCCATTGGTAATCATTGCCTAGATCCATTATTTCATCGAGTTGCAAAGTCATGATAATTTAATTCCATTCATCCTTCTTTTCCTTGCATGTGTTCGCTGAAATTAAAAACAATTTTCTTTCACCAACTGTTTGGTTACTCTGAAGTACCAAGAATTTGTACAAGAAAGACAAGATATTTACTAGTTTTCAGAATAATGAGTTGGTTTCTTGGTATTCTCCAAAGATGATTAGTGGGATTTTCATTTCACTGTTGCTATGAACAATGGATTTTGATATCTTTGATGTGTTTCAATTCTTTGCAGTCATTATTCTTCTTGATGCTTAAATGATCCCATCTTTGGCCGATGGGAGCCTTTTTAAGTTGAATCTTGTAATCTTTTGTTACAACCCCAGGAGTGTTTGATATCTTCCTTGCTATCTGGTATGACAAGATGTTCCAGGCTCAATTTACACATTTCCTGTCCCAGATCCAGAATTAGCCATTTATCTAAGGCACCAGGGTTTCTTTTAATGGGAAATAGGAAAGAAAACAATCAGGGCTCTAGGAGTGCTCATTAGTCTTTTTTTCCAGACTCTTCCAGTGGATAATGTTAGGATATGTATATATGAAAAACACAGTGAATTCATAGTGATATCTCCAATTCAAAGTTAGGATTATAAGATTTTTATATAACTTCTCTGATTTTTGTATTGTTTTTCTTTTACACCCAAAGTCTTTATTCATAATCATATTAATGTAATTACTACTTGCTTTATCCTACAATATATACTAGTATCAAAATAATGATACCAATATTAATACTACAATCTAATTACTGAGAATAGGTTAGGATTTCTATTTATCCCTCTAGGGATATAAAGTTAAATGACCTCAAGAGTTAAATGTCTTCAAGTCATTTGGAAAAAACTTCACTAAGTTGATACTCAGTTTTCTTTGTTTTGTTTTTCTTTTGATTTCTAGAATTAAGAATCCTTCTTTGGGCTAAATACAAGAAGGGGGAGGGAGCCAATAAAAAGAAGTGCTCCTGGGTTTCTGTCAGAATGAAAAGAAAATGTTACATAGAAAGCACACTATACACCCCAAGATCTACGGGAATGTAAAGCGCCGGCTACTGTGATTCTTTCTCTGTAGCAAAGGCCATCTTCACTCCCAGATAGAGGATGCTATCGGCTAAATTGTCCAGAGCTCACCTGGCCCCTGACTCAGGGTTGATTACTAGCCACTAGCCCCATCGTCTCATTTGGCCATTTGACCTCTCCATGTCTCAGGGTCTTTATATGTAAGATGGTGATGAATTAGAAAACTAACCTCACAGATTTTCTGTGAAGATTAAAGGAAAATGTGCATTCTATTATATATTTTTCTTCTTCCCTCTCCCGCTTCCATCAGGGAAGCCGTGTGGGGAATTGGGACCATTTAGAAGATGGCGACCAAGCAGATGGAGCCGGTCACTATCATTAGCCTTCGGAAGCTGAGCCCGGAGACCCCAGAGACCCAGCCAAAAGGTAAGATGATCATGGAAGCCTCGGACCCTCAAGCTGCTTCTTAATTTCCCCCTATATTTGCTAGGTTTTTTATAATAATGAATTGGTTTCCCAACATCTTTCTCTTCATTATTAGTGAGCATTTGTCCACATACATTCCCTTCCCACAGAGGCTATTCCTCTCACTCTGCCCTTCCTTGTTAGAGTCAAAGACATTCACCGTGGAAGATGCCGTGGAGACCATTGGATTTGGACGTTTCCACATTGCCCTGTTTCTGATCATGGGCAGCACTGGGGTGAGTGCTCTGTGGAGATCATTTGAATCTCTAAAGCGAATTCATTATTGGACACATAGAGTCTTCCACTGACCTCCAGCTCTGGGATGTCCATTCAGGGAGGGGAGTGAAAGGGAGCAGGAACCCTGTGAGGGGGTTAATTAAAAAATAAATTTCATCTACCTTTGGCAGGTATTTGGTTATGAGCATATAAATATCTGTGTCTTTATGTTCTGGGAATTCAGTATTCATTTAAAAAAATGGTTTAAATTTCTTCCTTCTCTGGGAAGAGAGGAGAAAACTAGTATCACTCTAAGTAAAATTAGACACATGGTCCTCAAATATTTTGTGCATAAGAATCATATGGGGCACCTGTTGTCATTACAGATTTCCAGAACCTTTAGGAGACACTAATGAAGGTTTGCTATTTTGAGAAAAAAAGAGTGACAGCTCAGTCGCAGGGCTTTGACCAACAGTGGGACTGTCCCAAAAGACCACTACTGCTTCCTCTTTTTGTCATAGGTGCAGTGAGAATATGTTAGGAATATGATAGTGATAATGCAACAGAATGGAAAAACTGAGAGAAGTGGTAAACATGACAGTGGTTTAAGGCGGGACATGAAGATAGCCAAGAGGACACTAGTGAGTAAATAATAGAGAGCCCTGACCCTCGCCCTCAGCTAAATGGTATGAGAAAAAGAGTGATGTGAGCTGGCGGGAGCACTTGGCAAGTTCTGATGCAGGGCTCCAAAGCCTTGTGTTCTCAGGAGGCAGTCCAGGAATGGAGAGAAAAGTAAGACACATCCTGATCCTACTTTTATAATAACCAACTGTGATACAATTTAGAACATTTCTTCATCTATAAAGTAATGTCTCACCTAGGCTCCAAAATGTTAAGTTCCATATTACAAGGGACAAATGGGTGTGACTGGGGAGGGTTTTATCATAACTTTCAACCAGAACATCTCCACTTCTGTTTTACATATATGATTTCATTACATGGTCCCCTTGGCTTAAACACTGTTAAACTCTCTGCATCTTTTACCTTCAAATATGTTGGGAACCCTGTCTTTTCTTCCATTATAGCCCTCTGGCAAGTGATATGCAGAATTTTTTTTACCTTCCCAAATCAACCAAACCACCTATACAAAGGGGGTGTATTTTTTTAGTTATTATCTGTATTAGAAAGATGGTGCTAGTGTACGCCCTTCCCAAAGGATAGGTATCACTTTTGTATAGGTAACCCCTGATGTCCATATCCAGATCCATGTCCATGGAGATTGTATGTCTATTGCACATTTACACTTGATGTTGTTGTGAAATAGCTTCTGGTCTTTAAGTGTTTTATAACCTGCTTCAGTTCTTCCCAACCCATCAGGTAGGAAGGGCTATTTGCCAGGCTGCCTCCTCCCTGTCTCACTCACACACACACACACACACACAAACGCACACACCTGTTTAATTGGGTGTGGTAACCAAATCCCTTCCCTGGTTTTAGGATGGACTGCACTGGATGGATCTTCTCATCAGAATAGGTGTGTTGACAGTGATGGGCATGGCTCCTCCTGGCCATGGTCTCTTAAGGTTCTTGGTCAGAGACAGTGGGAGCAATAGTTGGGTTTCAGGGCCTCACGTGACCAGGGTGTATGTAATAACATCACAATAGCAACACAGCCTCAGTCTGTGACCGGGCATCCTGAATCCTAGTGTTCTCTGAGGTCTTCTAAGATCTTCTTATACGGTGCTGCTCCTCTGTGTCCCTCTCCCCTAAGGCTATTATATCAGAGTGGGGCAGAGTCTTATCCCTTATTGGCTTATTTTCTCCTAAGACCACTTGGAGGAGTAGAGTCCTGATTAACATTGACCCAACTGCTCCTCATTACTGAGAGAGAGAAGTTTAACAAATCAAACATCCTTCTGAGGTTGTCATGCTGTCTCTTATTCATTTTACTTTTTGGGCTAAAATTACACCAGCTATCTGAACTCTAAACATGAGTAAAGTACTTTCCAAGAAGAGACAAACTTTATGATATCTTTCCAATTCCCATATAGTAGCTAACACCACTATACTTTATTCATCCCAGACCTTTGAGTTATAAATATAATATTTATATTATAAATAGTGTCTCCTAAAGGTTCTGGAAATCTGTAATGACAACAGGTGTCCCATACGATTCTTATGCACAAAATATTCTCGTTAAATGGATATTAAAGTACACTTCCTATCATGCGGAGCTCTGGTAAATCTTGTGTCTAATTTTGTGTTACTAGTTTTCTCCTCTCTTCCCATATAATACATAATCCACACAAATATCAATTCTTTTCTAGCATCTACATCTTCCTTTCCCTGGGAGATAAACTCACCCTACAATGAATTGCAAGATACAGACAGAGGATGATATTCAAACTTCTTATTGAAAGAAGTATTTGGGAGCATAGCTTACACTAGGTTTGCCAAATAGACCTTCTTTCCTGGTGATGAACTCATTGTTTTGTACTTGCTGCTTTACTCTCTTCTGGTTTTCATGAAGCTTGCCTTCCAGCTCAGCTTCTTGAGATCAGAGACTATTTCACAAATCCATTTGGAAAGGCTATGCCCTGAGACCTTCGCAATAATGAGTATGAAGCCACAGAGCCAGGTTGATGTGGATGCTGGTAGTTAGTCAGGTCATCTACTACCTAAGTGACTCCCCCAACACACACACACACATAACACCCTCATAGTACTATAGTGCAAATACATGGATCAGCAACATCGCAAATAAATATATGTCATAATTCTGTGGGAGTCCTCTCAAATTATTCGAACCATAAACATTATATCCATGAAAGCCAAAGTTCTGCTATACTTCATTACCCAACTAGCAGTGTTGAGTGGGTACACTGTAGGTGCTCCCTCAATGCGGAGGGGAAGGAGGAGATTAGGATTAGAAGGATGATGGACAGGCACACATGGGAAGAACTGATGAGAAACCAACACTAAGACGTGGTGTTTTCCCTCCTTCTTTAAGGTTGTCGAGGCCATGGAGATCATGTTAATAGCAGTCGTGTCTCCTGTCATCCGCTGTGAATGGCAGCTGGAGAATTGGCAGGTGGCTTTGGTGACCACGGTGAGTGCCTGCTTCGGGTGCTTTGAATGAACCAACTGAGAACCAGGGCTTCTGCTCCCCTTCCTCCATCCCACAAGGCTAGGAGCCAAAGGCTACCTCACTGCTTGGTGTGTTGGCTTCCAAAGCTCATGGGTTTACAGGCCCAAACTACCATTTGGGGTCTTTCTCTTTTTTTTCTCTTTTCCTGTAAGGAGCACAACCTTGAACTGCTTCTTTTCTAGCCCCTAGCAAGAGGCTAGAAGAGACAGATGCAAGTCAGAGAGAGTAGCCCTTAAGTCATGGATTAGTTATGGGTTGAGTCAGACTGCAAATTAGTTGGACCATAGTGACTTACGGCATCACCAAATCACGCTCACGGAGTTGTATTGTGGTATACGTTCAACTTTTCTCGAAGATCGTTGTGAATAGCCTTATGAAGTGCACAACAAGTTTTGCTACAGAGTGGAATGAAGGATATTCTACAGCATTCTTTCAAAAGGTGTTTATTAAGTACCCATGAATTGCCAGCCGGCTTTGTGTGTTGGCAGGAGTACAAGCAGCCCCATGTTGCTTGAATAGAAAGTCAGGAAGAGGGAACAATGGGAGACAAGGCTGCAGAGACAGGTGGGCATCAGAAGCATCTTGGAGTCCATGCATGGACTCCATTCTGGAGACCGCTGTGGGCCCCCCCACCCCAACTTCGGTCAACATGCGCAAGCCTCCCAAGCACAATATAGTTGGCACAGATCTATATGACCGTTTTCCCAAATTACTCTTTTACGTAACAAAGATCAATTTCACCTAAACACATCATTGACGTCATAGTCATTATGTATTTCTCGTTAAATGGATATTAAAGTACACTTCCTATCATGCGGAGCTCTGGTAAATCTTTTTTTTTAAAAAAAGTCTTAAAAGAGGCTCTTCATGCCTACAAATGTTGGAGTCTACACTGTGGATGACAGGGAGCCATGAAGGGGCCTTAAGGAGAGATGTGGTCAGCTTTCCAAGCGCCCTGAGGAGATGAGGTTGGAAGGTGGATACGTGAGCAGTAGTAAAGTGGCAGAGTGCATGGAGGCGAGGCAGTGTGTTCTGGAAGTATTTAAGAGGTCACATCAGCTGAGGAGGTGAAAGAAACAGAAGGTGTGGAGTGGAGAATTGATTTACTTGGGTATTGAAGCTGGTTTTCATGAGGGCAGGACTAAATAGAAATACAATGAGACAGGTGCCAACATCCTCACTGAGAGGAGAGTGTCAGGAGGCAGGGAGGCGCAGCTGGGTGAAGGATGCAGAGTCAGTTGGCGGAGGCCTTGAAAGACAGTAAGGCTTTATAAGAGAGTGAGAGTTATGGTCTGAAACTGGCCGTGGAGCATGCTGGAAGTTTTCCCCAGCCTCCTAGGCTTCTGGGGGTTATGGGCAGAGAGGAAGGGGTGTCCCCAGCTCTCACTCACTGCCTTAAGCAAACTTGACCTGGGAATTCTTATCTGTGTTGGGAACCAGGAACCTCCTCCTCCCCCAAGGAACCGATCTGAGTTCTCCTCTCAGATAACGTATGTTATCCGCCCAGTTGTCTTTCCCTCTGTGTCGTGGAGGCCAGGAAACGTGGAGCCCGGTTTTGGACTCAATCCCAGCAGCAAATGTACAAATCTGCTTATTTTCTGACATCCATTTCTCTCTTTAAAATCCCTTTATTAATTCTGTTGCACTTGTTCCTTTTTAAAAAAAGTTCTAATGCTTTTAGAAGAGGGAAGGGGTATAAATAAAAATAGCTAAAGACCTTACCTGGGCTTGCAATGAAGTGACCCGGCCATTTTTCATTTTCTTCTACATACAAAATGCAGTTGCAGTTTGGAAAGCATTCCTTGTCAACCCTGTGCCTTTAGAGTGACCGCTGTAAGGTTCTGTGTAATTATCGTTGCACCACACCCCCAGCGGGCTTGTGAATATGCTCGTCTCTGTTCCTGAGGATGTTGGGGCACCTAGTGTGGTGTTTGCATCCGTCGCTCCCATGAAACTATATTATATGATACACTTTCTATATTTACAAGTGACACTTCATCGGTTGCATTTATGTTGTTCTTGGTGGCACCTCCCTGATGTCAGCTGTAACACGACTTCCTTGTCAGGTGGTTCACGGCGCAGGAGACTTTTCTCTAGGGAATTCAGGTCACCCCAGAGGTGCCCATGTCTTGCTCTGAGTTCCTGGCTGGCCACTGTCTTTTTGTGGCTGTCACCCTGGCTGTGAGTCCCATCCGGCTTTGGCAACCGCGCCCTGGGCTCACTGGCCACGGCCTTGCCAAAGGGAGGGGCTCGGACTGATTCAGCCGAGAGGCCACATTCTGACCAACTCCCAGGCTCCCCATTCATTCCCCGAGCCCAGTGCCACCTGCCATCTTCAGGACAACCTGGCCCGAGCAGATGTTAACCTTGAGGACTGTGGATGAATTACAGTCCCTCACGTTTTGTGACTAAGAGCTGGCGCTGAAGAAACAAAACTTCATGTGGTGCATAAAACAGAAATAGAAGAGTAATATTTATGCTCAAAATAAGTACCTGCAGGAAAAGCAGACCCAGGGCGCCTGGGTGGCTCAGTCATTAAGTGTCTGCCTTTGGCTCAGGTCATGGTCCAAGAGTCCGGGGATCAAGCCCCGCATCGGGCTCCCTGCTCAGCGGGAAGCCAGCTTCTCCCTCTCCCACTCTCCCTGCTTGTGTTCCCTATCTCACTGTGTCTCTCTCTGTCAAATAAATAAATAAAATCTTAAAAAAAAAAAAAAAAAAAAGAAAAGAAAAAGCAGACCCTCCAAAGGGAGGGGGAGAGACAGAGAGAGAGAGAGAGTTTATGTCTTCAGCTCTGTGCGATTTCCCAAACAGGACTAGCACTCACAAGTTTTGGGGTTCACGTAGGCATTGAGTCAAGGTTTGTGCTCCAGACGGGCTTGATAATAAACAGCTCAGCCTTAGGAAAGTCATGTCTTTACACTGAATGGAAAGAAAACAAGAAAGAAAAAAAAATCTGCCACTTATGGGCGAGAACAGAGTAAACTTTAAATTTCATCTTATTTGACTCTTTGCTTCACCTTTATTAATCATTTAATTAAGCTTAATCCGGGGGCAATTAAGTCTATTAACCCAACATAGCATTGCAATAAACAAAAGTGTTTTAAATCCAAAGAGCCACTTTCCTCCCTGCCCTGGGCAGTCTAGGATTGCTTCCTTTTATTCAAGTCTGGTCAAAAAGAAAAAAAAAATTAGTTTACTTCTTCCTTCTTGGAGGGAATTTGATAATTTCATAATAGAAATTGCTTAATTTCAGGGGCACCCAAATTTTGAGATTCCCCAATTGATATGACTTCTTAATTTTTTTTAAGATGTTTATTTATTCATTTGAGAGTGAGAGAGAGCACAAGTGGGGAGCGGGGGTGGAGGGACCGAGGGAGAAGCAGACTCCCTGTGGGGCAGGGAGCCCGATGCGGGACTCAATCCCAGGACCTTAGGATCATGACTTGAGTGGCAGGTAGACACTTAATCCACTGAGCCATCCAGGCACCCTGATATGATTTTTTTTTTTAATTGAGCTGCTGACATAGGGTTGACATTAAAAATATACATATTTGATAATTAAGCCTATTAGGAGATGAGAAAGAGGTAAAAAATCTTGCCATTGACTACCATCATCTTAAAAAAAAAAAAAAAAGAGAAGGGCACATTCATATCAACAATCAGAAAGAAAATTATTCCAGAATAAAAAGAGCCCTTAATATTTAATAAATTTAGATTTATTCAAAACATATCACATTGACCTTATTTTCAACGTTTTTTCTCAGGACTGATTAGATTTCATGATAGGGCAGCATCTGTCCCAAGACTGGCATTTAGAAAACACTGGCTTCTTCCCCCTCCTCTTCTATCCTAGAAAGCACAAGGTAGAGGATAGCATGGCTTTGTTGTTCAAGAATAGATATGATGTGTTTTTTTTTTTTCTTCTTATAGTTCCCTGTGGAAGAAATGCGTTTGAGTCTTCTTATGAGGAGTAAGGAAGGGGAAAAAAAAAGAGTAAGCAAAGCAGGCAGTAGAGAGAAACAGTTCTCTTACTGAAAAAGTCTTAGAAATGCAAGCTAACACCTTTCCTTTGATTACTCTAGAGTCAATCAGAGATCTTACTAGAAAGGAAAGCAAGTGAAGCTTGGAACGGCTTGAAAGAAGAAAAATAAGTAGCCTAAGGGCATAGACATCAGATCACAGCTCAGACTGAGTTAAAATGCTGGTATCACACCCAGGTTCTTGAATTTTATCCCGTGTAGGATAAGCTATTGTGAGAACAAGGATGGAAAAGAAACAGATTTATATTAGTTTTGAAGAGTGTTTCTGTATGGGGGCTTGGCTTGGGTGTTTATTTAAAGTTTGTGTTTACCTGTAAAAACAAAGGAAAATTGCTTCTAGAAGTCTCAACTTGTGTGTGGGATCAGGCAGGTCATGAATGAATAGAGGTGGTTTTTCTTTTTTAATTCTTAAAATGGAAAAGCACAATTATACATCTGAGTAGAATGAGGCCAGGGCCATCATCTTGGATCAGAGGGAGATAAACTACCTGTTCCTCTAACCCCGATTCCACCTGGCGGCAGCCTCTCTATGTGTGGGGTGAACCGATGGGAAGCATCAGCCTCTGAAGCCCTGAACATGGGAACCAGAGGCAGGGGAGCTTTGTGAAGCTTCTACCCCTTGCACATTTCCAGTCAACTTTTCATGAAGATGAATGAATGGGAAATGCAGCTAATCAGCATATTCTAGAAAGCCTGCCTACCGGATCATTTTTTCTCACTCCACCTCCAGATGGTGTTTTTTGGCTACATGATATTCAGCATCCTCTTTGGCCTACTTGCTGACAGATATGGCCGCTGGAAGGTAGGTTGGCCTTGAAGAATGATTTGGAATTTTCTTTTGTGATGATGTCACCCCTGCTTCTCTTTAATGGACATTTCTTTGTCTATAACCAAGATAGAATGGGCAGAAATGTCCTTCTCTGACACCACATGCCGGAATTCCAGGCTTGTCTTCTTGCTTTCTCATCTTTTCCTGGGGTACCTGTCCTCATACCAGGTCCCCGTCATCCAGGAATGGAATTGATGGGTGTGCACAGTCAGAAAATATGAGAATGTAGAGGAGGACACATAGAAACATAAGCAGCTTCACACAGTTAACTTGGGTGTAGCTTTGAAACTCAGCCACTTGCTCAAGGTCACATATCAACTAAGGTTAGACAGTAAGATCTAAACCTATGTCTTCTGATTAGAAACCTGGGTCTCTCTCTCTCTCTTTTTTTCCCCCTCGTCTGGTTTCTGGTAGGGAAGGCCACTCTAAGCATAAGCACAGGGGGACAAGCACCAAAGGAAAATTGTCAACGTCTAGTGCGTTGGGGTCCCTGGGTAAGGGTCTACGAAATCACCAGGACACAGGGGATGCAGAGCAAAGGCAGCACTTGCAACTGCATACTGCCGTTTATTACTCACATAGCTATATACTCGCAGTGATCAGATAAACATAACAATGTGTACTTAAAGTATCAACCCAACATCCGTGAAGTAAGATACACGAAATTCAATAAGAACAAAATACATCCTGTTTATGCTTGCAGAATAAAGAATTCTCTTAGCCATCCTTCCTTTGGAGACAACATGTTCTTTGTCTTTAGAAAGAACACTTCTGATTAGAAAGACACACTTTAAGCAGGCAAGAGCCACTTCCTGCTGATCCAGGCATTTAGGACTTGCAACATGAGATAAGGGGAAGAGAACATTTTCTCCTCCTGGCCTAGGCCTGCCTGGCCGACCTTAACCTCACTGCAGTCCTCAAATGACCCTGGCCTGCAAGGGGCCTACAAGCCTACACCATCTCAGAAAATAATTACAGAATTGGCTGTATGTTTTGAAGTACACGAAGTAAATATCATAGACATTCATAAATTAATCTGAAAACACAAGTATGTCAAAAAAATGTAAAAAGCACAAGAAGACATTTTACAAAAAAATACACGTGGTCAATATATCTTGGAAAACATTTGATTGTGGGAGTCATCAAAAGGAAACATACTAGAAGGTATGATTTTTGGGGTATCAAATCCATAAGGATTTTTTCTTTTTTTTTAGAGAAAGTTGCAAGTGTACAGACTTCATATTGGTATAGTTTTTCTGACCACCGGTTTGGCAGGATGAACCAAGAACCTTGAGAATACGCATTCTAGTCTGACCATTTTCTTTCCAGAAATCTAGCCTGATTAGATCATCAGAGAACCACAGAGGTTTCTGTGCAGACATTGTCACAGCTAACTGTAACCATGAAAAAACCTCAGCATCCAACCACAGGGAAGGGGTTATGCATGATATTACATGCATTATAGTACATTTTTCCACTGGAATATTTTGCAGCCATTAAAAATACGTTTTCCCTTTCAAGCAGGGAAAATAGGATAAAAACATGTTAACATGTCTTTTTTGAGGGGTTGGGAAGTCAAGCAAGATTTAAATATTTTTGTTTTTCTCTTTTTCTTCCATATTCTCTTCTGTGAATTTGTATTATTCTTATGATTAGGGAAAATGCAAATACCTTAAATTTTCTCCTCATCCCATTCCAACACAACACTTCCCTGTGCTCCTAATGAGGGCAGGTTTTTGCATCCTGATTTACAAGTTTGGGCTCCGGTCACCTGTTAGGGTGGATGCAGTCTGGCAGTTTTGAAGAATGGTCTAAATTTGGAATGTCTGGACTTTCAGGCAATACAATGGCATAGATCGTGTTATTTGACGATTGTGAGAGATCAGTGAGCTCCCTGTAGAATTAGCTTCTCTGAGAAGCAAACATCTGGATGGAAATTAAAAATCACCTTCAGAAGTTACATTTTCTCCCATTAACTTCTTCCATTGAGGCAGGTCCCATTAATAAGTCTCCTTTTGTTGCTTCAGATTTTGCTCATCTCGTTCCTGTGGGGAGCCTACTTCTCCTTGCTGACCTCTTTCTCTCCGTCCTACATCTGGTTTGTCTTCCTGCGGACAATGGTGGGCTGTGGTGTGTCTGGCCATGCACAAGGGTAAAGACTTCACCTAGCGGACGCTTGAGAGATGCATACACCACCAGATACTTACGCATACGCTGTGGCTCATGGGCCAATTGCATCAACAAGTTGTAAACGCATAAGATTTCACTTGTGCTAATTATTTTTTAGCTTTTTATTTATTTTTAAAATTTTCTTGAAGTGATGGCTGCGAATTCCACTAGGAGCTATTTGCTCATCAGAATGTTTGATGGTGAGGCTAGCAGAGCGTACTAGCGGTGAATGTGTTTAAACTTTTTTGTCCCTAAGGCTGCTCTTTATTTTGTTAGACTAAACACTAAGCGAAATTGCTGTATGAGGTAGGTAACACAGTCTATTCGTTGCTGGAGAATTTGTTGGAAAAGTTTAGTTTGATCAGAAGCACCTTTAACATTGAGGGGTAACCATTTTATTTATTTATTTTTAAAGATTTTATTTATTTATTTGAGAGAGAGAGAGAACAAGAGAGCAAGCACGAGCAGGGGGGAGGGGCTGAGGGCGAGGGAGAAGCCGACTCCCTGCCGAGGAGGGAGCCCCATGCGGAACTTGATCCCAGGACCCATGACCTTGAACTGACTGAGCCATCCTGGTGCCCAAGGAGTAACCATTTTGAAATGCCACTGCCCTGTGACTCAAAACTGTGTCTAAGTGCATTTGCAAAGCAGGGGGAGACCGCTGCGAGAGACGGTGGTTGCTTGTCCTTCTCTGCCCTGGGATAGGGGCGCAGTGTCTTCTTGCGCCTGGAGAGTTGCGCTAAAGGTTCAGCAACTCCGGAGCCTCCCTGAAATTCACGAGCCCCTCAGGCTACTGTCTCCCGGGTGCCTTGGAGCAGGTTACCCTTAGAATGTATTATCATGTCACAGCACCCAATTATTACCTTAATGTGTTGCAGAAAGACTGTTCCTCCCTGGGGCATAAATTAAGCCCCGCTCTGAGCTGTGGAGCCCTACAGGAGTAGAAGTAAGCTTGACGTTTACAACATCCCTCGGGGAACCAGCCTAATAAATATGTTAAGAAAGCCCAAACCCTGCTTAATAATTGCAACAGGGAAGGGCAATTAGAAAACAGAAGGGAGTATGATGCTATTTATTTGTCTCTTCACAAAATTAATTAGAAACCTGTGCTTTGACTGTCACCATTCACTGTGGCTAGCTATTTACTTTCTTTTAGGCGTATTTTAATTTCCCAAGTATGTTTTAGAAAGGGGAATCAGGGGCGCCTGGGTGGCTCAGTTGGTTAAGCGACTGCCTTCGGCTCAGGTCATGATCCTGGAGTCCCGGGATCGAGTCCCGCATCGGGCTCCCTGCTCGGCGAGGAGCCTGCTTCTCCCTCTGACCCTCCCCCCTCTCATGTGCTCTCTCTCTCTCTCATTCTCTCTCTCTCAAATAAATAAATAAAATCTTAAAAAAAAAAAAAGAAAGAAAGGGGAATCAGGCTTGGCAAAAACATTTTGCCAATTTTTTGGGGGAAAAAAATAAGGCTCATCTCTCTTAAATGGTAGAAGGTTGAAAATAACTTTGGGAAGAAACATGTAAACAGAGCAGTTGCAAATTTCTTTTTGTTTTCTTACGTGGATATTAGCTGCTCACAATTATACAGCCAAATGTAATTGTTAGGAAAAACTTCTGTTTTCTTTTTTAAAGATTTTATTTATTTATTTGAGAGAGCGAGGGCGTGAGAAGGGGGGAAGGTCAGAGGGAGAGGCAGGCTTCCCGCTGAGCAGGGAGCCGGACATGGGACTCGATCCCGGGGCTCCAGGATCATGACCTGAGCCGAAGGCAGTCGCTTAACCGACGGAGCCACCCAGGCGCCCAAAACTTCTGTTTTCCTTTACACACTCACACTCAGTACTTGTGACAAATCTTCACTTTTTTTTTTTTTTTTTTAAGAGCGAGAAAGCACATGCAAGCAGGGGGTGGTGGGAGGAGGCAGAGGGAGAGGGAGAATCTTAAGCAGGCTCCCCTTGGAGCCCAATGCTGGGTTTGATCTCACGACCCTGAGATCAAGACCTGAGCTGAAATCAAGAGTCAGTTGCTTAACCGACTGAGCCACCCAGGCGACCCGATAAATCTTCACTCCTGACACTAAATGTGTGGGTTATTTACACACCGGCCAATTCTCCAGCACCAGCTGGGTATTCTACAGTTTAGTTCAATTCTGACCCTAACCGGGAGTTTGCTCAGACCCCACAGGTTTAGGGCTCAGTCGCACGAGGCTATCGCCCACCTCAGACACCAATCGCAAGCAGTAGGTCCCCAGGTTATCCAGTTGCCACAGATCCCTCTGGGGGCTCAATAAATTGCCAGAGCAGCTCACAGGACCCAGGCAAACAGTCTCCCTACTATTGCAGATGTATTACAAAGGATGTTTTATTTATTTATTTTTTTAAAGATTTATTTATTTATTTGTCAGAGAGAGAGAGAGCACAAGCAGGGGGAACAGCAAGCAGAGGGAGAAGCAGGCTCCCCGTCGAGCAGGGAACCTGATATGGGACTCGATCCCAGGACCCCGGGATCATGACCTGAGCCAAAGGCAGATGCCTAACCGACGGAGCCACCCAGGCACCCCTACAAAGGATATTTTAGAGGAAACAGATGAATGGCCAGATGAAGAGCTCTACAGAGGGCAAGGTCTGGAAGGGTCCTGAGAGCAGGAGCTTCTGTCCCTGCGGAGTTGGTGGTACCACCCTCCCAGCATATAGATGTGTTCGCCAGCCTGGAAGCTCGCCAAACCTTGGATGTTAGCGATTTTTAGGGAGGCCTCATCATGTAGGCATGAGGCATATAGGCAGCAACTCATATGCCAACCCCTCTCCTCTCCCCAGGGGATGGGGGTTAGGGCTGGATGTTCCATGATTCTAATCATGACTTGGTCTTTTCAGACCAGGCCCCATCCAGGCGTTCACCGAGAGCCACTTCATTAGAACAAATGATGCTCCTTTGGACCAGGGAGGTCCAAGGATTCTAGGTGTTCTGTGTCAGAAGCGGGAGTCAAAGACCAAATACTAGCAGGAACTGGCTGCTGAGAACAGTATATATATTTTTCACAATGATGAAGTCTATGTTTTTTCATTCTTCATCTCTATGACAAGAAAAGTTATGATTTTTTTAAGTTATTTGCTTTGATAAAAACAAAATTATTCTCTTCCCCCTCCCTTCCTGTTTAGGCTAATCATAAAGACTGAATTTTTGCCTACAAAATATCGAGGCTACATGCTCCCCTTGTCTCAGGTAAGATAAAATAGGAATCCTACCCGGTCTTCTGATCCTAGAGGATATGATGCACAGGGTTTTGCTTCTAGTTGGTTGATTGTCTGATGAGCACACTGCCTTTTTCTTGGTGTTAACTAAAGAGCACTGGGAAGGTTGGATGCCTGGGGGTCCCATTTCAAGATGTCCTCAGCCAGGGCTTTTTCTCACCCAACAGTAGCATTTAGAACACAGGTTTCCCAGAACACAATGTTCTGGGAAACATTCCAATGGCTGGTCTCAGTGGAATGATGGAAGCCCAGGAATGCATCTGGGATGGGCTTTGTCTTCCCACTGAGTCTTCAGTAGGGGGACACAGCTACTACCCCTTTTTAGGGCAGCCCATCTCCCCTCTAGGGTAGCTAGTATCTTTGAGGCCATAACTGGCCCATGCCTGCAGGGACTACGTGCCTTGTCCAGCTGAGCCATTTATCCAGGTGAGGAGATTGGGATGCTCCCAAGCCCTCCCCAGGCCCCACTGGCCGCTGAGGAGAGGTTTTGCATCAGAAGCTCTGTCGATCAATCTAGGTGCCCTTGTAGCATCTCTGACGCTATCATTGTCCAAAAGCCCTGACTTTCAGGGGCCCAGGAAAGAGACGGCTCTTCTCACTGAAACATATATTTGACAGTAAGTAAAGCTGTAGGAGAATATTTTAAAATTTATTGTAAATTTTTCTAATGCTCAATGTAGGCAACAAAAAATGATGAAGAACGTAACAAACACTGCATGCTAACTCTTTACATTTCTCCCAGCTTTCTTCTGATCTGTATTAAGATAGATGTATACACTTTTAATACTTAGCATTTGGATTTTATCCTTAACAGTATTTCATGGGCGTGGTCCTGCTCAGGCTCATCTGTGGATATTTTCTCTTCCACCTGCCACTCATTCCATGGCACGCTTCCAGGTCATGTCTTCTCCTTGCTAGTCTTATTTTCCTCCTCTCCTTGGGTCATCTAATTAATACCAATGGTTTTAGCTACCTATATCTGTAAACCCGAATATCTTTGTCTACAACCAAGAGCATCTCCCTGAGTTTCAGATGCAGGTAGCCAATAACTACTGGAGAGTCACTTGACTATCGCTTCACAAATACCACATGGATAGAATTCATCTGTTCATCTTACCCTGAAATGTCTTATTTCCACGTTTCCACTCTCAGCTAGTAATAAACATTGTATGGGCCACAAACTTAAGAGCCATCCCAGGCCCCTCCTGTGCCCTCACCCCCATTCAAGCCTTCACCAAGTCCTACTGATTCATCCCTTATTGATGGGCCCCCAATTGCAGTGTCCATTAGGAAACCCTGTCACTTTTACCTCTAATATCTGTGCCAAATTATCAGTTTTTAAATTTTTTGCCATTTCCCTATGAAAATCCTTGTCAGTGACCTATCCCCGTCACTGTGATAGACCCCCTATCTGGTCTATCACAATGGCTTACTGCTAGTCTTCCTATTTGTTGCTTCTTCAGAAAGTGCATCCCTGATCACTCCCCATGACATTACTCTTTTTTTTCATAGTCCTTAGCACTTTATGAAATAATCCTGTTCAGTTTTTGTAATAGAATTCTTTAGTGATAAAATAGTCACCCCTTAATTAGTCTCCCATGAAGGGTCTTTTATTCTACTGTCTTCTCTCCATCTCTGTGAGGTGGAATGGAACTGTCCTTTACTCTCCATCTTCCAGTGGGGAGAGAATGCTCAGGCTAACACTTGGAATCATTCTAATTCCCAAACCCATGGGGCCTGGCCATAATGGGCTGCCATGTTGTTTGTCGATATAAAATGATCTTCAAGATACATTTTTCAGTACAAAAAGCAATGCTTATACTATACCATTTGTGAAAAAAGAGAACAGGATATATCCTTATTAGCTTGTATATGCATAGAACAGTTTGGAAGGACACAAGAAATTAGTAACATTGGTTCCTTCTAAAAAGAGAACTGGATGGGAAGTAGGAGAGGAAGAGAATATTTTCAGCATTTTCCTTTGTGCCTTTTGAGTTATGAACCAGTAAATCTATTATTTATTCAACGGGGACAAATGTCAGTGTCTCCGATTTTTAAAACTTTGGTGATAGCACTGACCCCCTGTCTAGTTGAGTCTTCCATTTATAGACACGCAAACTGAGCCACGGAGAAGTGAAGCAATGTTCTCTGTTCATCCAGGTCCTGGAGGACCCTCTTCCATCTCACCCTCTTATACTGAAATGCTCCCGAGAGAGGCAGGGTTGAGCACACTTGATAGGAGGAATTGTAAAGATTTTATTTTCAAGTAATTACTATAACCAACATGGGGCTCAAACTTACAACCCCAGATTAAGAGTCACAAGCTCCAGAAGAAGAAGGTAGCGGGAGGGGAAGAATGAAGCGGGGGAAATCGGAGGGGTAGACGAACCATGAGAGACGATGGACTCTGAAAAACAAACTGAGGGTTCTAGAGGGGAGGGGGGTGGGAGGATGGGTTAGCCTGATGGTGGGTATTGAGGAGGGCACATTCTGCATGGAGCACTGGGTGTTGTGCACAAACAATGAATCATGGAACACTTCATCTAAAACTAATGATGTAATGTATGGGGATTAACATAAGAATAAAAAAACAAAAACAAAACAAAACAAAAAAAAGAGTCACAAGCTCCACTGACGAGCCAGCCAGGTGCCCTGATAGGAGGAATTTCAACCTCCCATTCTCTCCCCAGGTTTTCTGGCTGGCTGGCTCCCTGCTTATCATCGGCCTGGCCTCTGTGGTCATCCCCACCATTGGGTGGCGGTGGCTCATCCGCATCGCCTCCATTCCTGGCATCATCCTCATCTTGGCCTTCAAGGTAAGGGCACTCATGGGGCTCCCTCTGGTCCTCCCCTCCAGCTGGCCCAGGGGTCCTTTCACCCCACAAGTATCACCCTTACATCTGCCTCTTTCCTTCACTCAAGACTGTCTCAATCTGCTTCATTCCTCCCCTCCGTTAGCCTGCCTTCTGATCATTTATTGCTGGATGTTTTGTCTCACAGCTGCACCCTATTTGGGCTGACCCTTCTCTAACCTTTAGTGCTTGGAGTCGGATCCCAGGTACACATTCTTAGGCTACTATAGACCAGCTGGTTTGTCCTTCTGCTCTCCCTCTAATCTGCAGAATCATCCTTCCTTAGGTTCTAGAAGAATTATGCTCATTGTTCAAAGATGGGGCTGGCAGTTCAGTGGAACTGGGATGTGTTGTGTGTGTGTGTGTGTGTGTGTTACCTAACACTATGGAATCAAAGAATTTCAGATTTCACAGGGGTCCTTGGAGGGCATTTATTTCATACCCCAACCACAAGCACACATCCTGTCACGGCCAGAACACTCCCAGCTTTGGGCACTTTCAGACTCGAGACTTTATAGACGACATCAATATGTTCCTCTGCAGGCAGCCCTAGTTCTTAGGAAGTTCTTTCTGAACGTGAGGGGACCCTGCCTCCTTATGAATTTACATGCGGTCTTAGTACTTCTCTCTGAAAATCCAGAGGTCTATCTTCTACATGATATCCCTCCAAACAGTTAAGAAAATTAGCCCAATCCGAGCTTTCCTTCTTTGAATGACACAGTACTGTTACCTTCAACTCTTTCTGCTGACACCTGATCCCAGAGCCCTGTCCTTTTTTTTTTCCTGGATGAGCCCATTGGTCCATGTCTTCTCTGCAGTGAACAGTTGCTTGGCATCCCACACAGAGCGGCAGGTGCCTGGGCCCAGGGGCTTAGTGGACCCAGTGCTTCCTGTGAGCAGCCTGCCTGCCTTGGTTGGTATAGTCAGAAACAGACTGTCCTGGCCCCACCATCCTGGGCAAGTTGTCCCACCTCATGAATAGGGCGTATCTCCCCGTGCATTGGGGAGGATTAAACAAGGTAATGCGTAAGACTCTCTTCCCGAGCCTGGAACATGAGCAGTGTTCAGTGTGCATTAGCTATGCAGTTATGTTATTACCTTTTTAAGAATTATTTTGAATCTTGGTCTTGTCTTTGGATTGATCACACTCACACCGAGTATACACTAGGCTCAGCATTAGGTTCCAAGGCTAAAAGTATGCACAGGATACAGTTCTTACCATCAAGGAGCACCAGCCAGTCAGCGAGAGATAGATAACGAATGCAAAGGGTGATCGTACCAGCGGGACTCGGTCAGCACTGTCACAGCTTTCGTTCTGTGGGTGCTCAGGGGAGAGAGCGGATTGTTCCAGTGAGGTGGTGCTGTTGAATTTGGCCTTGAGGGCTGGAACAGCCTGCATCGGGAGGGCCCGTGAGTGGGGCAAGGGCATTTGGGCAGAGCTGAGGCATCAGCCCAGTCACGAAGGTGTGAATGCAGAATATGTTTGGGGGAGAGCAGGTAGGCAGGAATGAAGGGTGCTGGTGGGAGGCGGGGTGCAAGGACAGGCCTGTGTCCAGATTATGAGGGCCTTCAAGGCAAGGGGTGCTGGTGGCATGGAAGGGGTTGTGTGCTGGGAAGCTGGTTCACAGCTGCATGGCGCCTGGGTGGGAGGGAACACGAAAACACCAGGAAAGCAGTTGGACTCATCCTAGTAGGAAATGAGGAGGACCTGCCCTGCCTGCTGGTCACGGGATGGGGAGCAGGGTGCTGCTGGGTGAGGTGCTTTTCTGAGGAAGAACCAGCCCCCCTTGATCGGTTGTGAGGCATGAAGGGCAGGGAGTGGTTCAAGGTGACTCTCAAGGTCCCCGCCTCCACGGAGGCCTGTCTTGTTATGTATGTATGTATGTATGTATATTTATTTATTTGAGAGAGTGTGAGAGCATGAGCAGGGAGAGGGGCAGAGGGAGAGGGACAAACAGACCCCGCTGAGTGGGGAGCCTGACATGGGGCCCGATCCCAGGACCCCAAGATCTTGACCTGAGCCAGAGTCAGTTGCTTAACTGACTGAGCCACCTGGGCGCCCCAGCCTGTCATGTTTTCTGAGTATGGCAGTCAATGATCAGTGGGTTGAGGGTCTGTCTGATAAGTCAGGAGTGATTCTTACCCCTGTGGTGCCAGAGTCCCTGCTATATTCATGCTGTGGGCTGTTGCATGTGGGAGATTGCAGGGTTCCTGGGGAGAGCCTGGGGTGACAGCACAGTAGAGGGACCCTGGGGCAGCTGTTTACCAAGTGGATGTAAGCATTTCCTTGTGTTAACAAGTAGATTGGGTTCTGTATCAGCCTGATGTCATCAAGATGGGACTATAGTAGGGAGGATATCCCCCTATTTGTTCCAGATCAACTTGGAATGCCGACGATGCCTGCCATATTGTGTGGCTTTATGCTTGCTGCTCCTCCATCCCTGGAAACTGGGGCATGTGACTATACAAGAGTCACTGTGGAACCCCTGGGGTCCACAGCAATTGAACTCTGATGCTCTTTCCTTCTGTGCCCAGTTTATTCCCGAGTCCGCTCGCTTCAATGTCTCCACTGGGAACACTCAGGCTGCCCTCGCCACCCTGCAGCGCATCGCCAGGATGAACCGCTCAGTCATGCCGGAGGGGAAGCTGGTGGAACCCATCCTGGTAAGTTCCCAGCAGGGAGGTCTTCTCCTCCCACCAGAAATCCGCTCAGTCTTAGAAGGGTAGAGGGGAGGGGACCTTCACTCTCTAGCCTTGCCCTAGAGGGATGAGGAATAAGAGCAGAGCAGACTGGGACTAAATCCAGCTCCGTGGAGAGCCAGGTGGCCCTAGCAAGTTATCTACCTTCGCTTTCCTCATCTGTGAAATGGGAATAATAACCTCTACCTTGCAGAGCTAGTCACATGACTTGGCATCTTTGTTTATAGGTGAGAGATTGTTTATAATTTTATTTTTTTGTACTGGCCTTATAAATGATGTAAATGATAAGTGATATCAAACTATAAACCTCATTAAATGATTTCTTTTTTTAAAAAAGATTTTAGGGGCGCCTGGGTGGCTCAGTCGTTAAGCGTCTGCCTTCAGCTCAGGTCATGATCCCAGGGTCCTGGGATCGAGCCCCGCATCAGGCTTCCTGCTTAGTGGGGAGTCTGCTTCTTCCTCTCCTTCTGTCCTTCCCCCCTCCCCCCGCTTGTGCTCTCTCTCGCACTCTCTCTCAAATAAATACATATAATCTTAAAAAAATTTTTTAAGGGCGCCTGGGTGGCTCAGATGGTTAAGCATCTGCCTTTGGCTCAGGTCATGATCCCAGGGTCCTGGGATCGAGTCCTGCATCGGGCTCCCTGCTAGGCTGGGAGCCTGCTTCTCCCTCTGCCTCTGCCTCTCTCTCTCTCTCTCTCTCTCTGACTCTCATGAATAAATAAATTAAAACATTAAAAAAAAATTTTTTTTAAAGATTTTATTTATTTATTTGTCAGAGAGAGAGAGAGAGCACAAGCAGGGGGAGCAGGAGGGGAAGCAGGCTCCCCACTGAGCAAGGAACCTGATGCGGGACTTGATCCCAGAACTCTGGGATCATGACCTGAACCGAAGGCAGACACTTAACGACTGAGCCACCCAGGTGTCCCTAAATGATTTCTTAAAACAAAACTTGGCCTTTACATTCTACTGGTTCCAGGACTCTTAATGTCAGTCTGAAATCATTTCTCACACCAGCCCTGACCACCCACCTGTAGGCAGGTCAATCATAGGTACCAGAGGTACCTTCCTCACCTGTCCTGCCAACTCGGCAACACTTTATGTAAGATAGAAATTCACCTCTTGGTTATGGTTGGAATATGGTTTTGGAATGCTTGGTGAAACTCGCCTCTAATGTCATTTATGCCTAATATGTATTTTGAGGGGAGCGGGGGGGGTAACAATGGGGTGTTACATGGAGGAGTTTTTAAAACTATGATTTAATTTATGTAAAGTTTAGAGTCTACTTTTGTTTAAGACTTTTGATTGAGTCAATTCTGGTAGTGTATCTATTTTAGAAAATTGTCCAGCTCATCTAGCTTTTCAAATTTGTTGATATAAAACTGTTCCCAGTGTCCTCTTAGGAGTTTCAAAAATCTGCTGCATATGTCCCATCATTCATTTTAATGCCATATATTTGTGCCTTCTCTCTTTTTTCATGGTCCTCTTACTAGAGGTTTGTGCATTAACTTCAAAGAACAAGGGTTTTTGTTGCTGTTCTCTTTATTGACTTTTTTTTTTTGTGGTCTTGTTAATTTCTGCTCTTTGTTTTCTCCTTTAGCTTTTTATGTTTTTCTAGCTTCTTGAGTTTAGTACTTAGCTCATTTATGGTCAGTCTTTTTGATTTTTAATTAAGTATTTAGCTGCATTTAGGAAGTTTTGTTACAGAGTAATTTTATTTTTATTTCTATTTTGTAACTGTTCTGAGTTTCTCTTTAACCAGTGAGTTATCCGTTAACTCCCCCTTTTTTATTTTGTTTGTTTCTAATTGAATTGCATTTTGGTCAGAGGATGTTATCAATTATTTGGAATACTGGAGATTTTTCTGTTGTTCTCTACATAGTGACTTTTAATTGATGTTCCATGTGTGCTTAAAAAGTGCATGTGTTCTCATTGAGTATATATATTTTGTTATATACTGTTAATTGTGCCATATAAATATCTGACACTTTTGCTAGATTTTGCCTGGCTGAGCTAATGGTTTTTCAATAAGATGATGGCTTTGTTCCTTTCTCCTTATAGTCCTGACAGTTTACTTCATATATTTTCAGGGTATCTTGTTGCTTCCTAACATGTGATTGGCTTAGTCTCATGGATTAACCTTATTATGTTGTTATTTTATACTGGTTTGGGCCTTAAATTTTATTTTCTCTCATATTAATATATCAAAACTACCTTAGGTTAGCATTTTTCCTGATGTATCTTTTTTCCAGACCTTCATTTTTAACTTTCCTGTGTTGCTTTGCTTTAAAATTATTTCTTGTGTGTATAAATAGCTGATCTTTATTTTTTTCACTCAATCTGGTATTCTGTGTCTTTTAGTAATGAATTTGATCCATTTATATGTATTGTGATTACTCACATATTTGGACTTCTGCCATTTTATTTTATATTTCCTCTTAACCATGTCTTTCATTTTCTCCTTTCCTACCTTTTATTAGAGTGATTCAGTTTGCTTTTCTCCCTCCTGTGCTTCCTTCTACTGGCTAGGACTTTGTGTACTCTATTTCTTTTGTTATATTTACTATTATTATTATTATATAATATAAGAATATATTATAGCCCTTAAATATTGAAAATGTGTACCCACAGTATCTATGTTACTTAGTATCTTTATTTGCTGTCTGAAAAATACAAGGCCCTTGAAGATGTTAATTCTGATCTGCCCCAGTCTCATCTTCCAAATTATTTTTGTCTTATGTTTTTGTTTCATGTTGTATCTATTTAGATTTATTAATATTTTTACTACTGTCTTTTTTAGTGGTTTCAAGCTTACCTTTTATAACAACATTCTGGTATCCTCCTCCTTTCTATTGGGTTAATTTGGTTTCATACTTACCATTTAAATGTTGGATCTATCTGGGTTTAATTGAATATAAGAAACATGGTACAGGTCTAGCTTGGTTATATCTAAATGGCTAACCATTTGCACTCATATATTTTTATTGAATAATCCATCTTTTGTATATTTGAGTCTATTTTTGAATTCTCTATTGTGTTCTAATGACAGATTTGTAGATTCAAGTATGTATGGAGACTTATTATATGATAAAGAGGGCATTTCAAGTTGTTGGAAAAAGGATACAGGTTAATTGTTGGTCCAATGTGACACTCTTAATTACAGTATTTTTCACATCTAGTAGGATAAGTCCCCTTGTCAAAATTCTTTTTCAGAATTTTCCACGTTATTTTCTCAGACTATTTTTCTAGAACAACTTTGAGGTCACTTTATTAAGATCTTCTCCTAATTTTCCCCCAAAACCTAGGAGAGTTTAATTGGGATGGTGTTGGAATTATTAGTTAACACATAAAGAGAATTGATACCTTTATAATATTAAATATTTTTATTTTGATAAAAGTGTATGTTCGCACTAGTCAAGTCTTTTTATATTCCTCAGCAACATTAAAAAAAAAAAAAACAACCCAAAACCAAGACAAAAAACTCTTATTGGAAGGCTGAATTTCCTGAGGGGAGAGTTCTTCCTATATGTTTTTTATCTCTATTTTTGTTGTTTTTTTTAATGCACATTTTTTTATTTGATACTTAGAGAAAACCTTATGAGGTAGGCAAATATTTTACTTTCTTTTTTTTTTTTGCATTTTATTTTTTATATGTATTTTTTAAATTTATTTTTTATTATTATGTTCAATTAGCCAACATATAGTACTTTCATTAGTCAAATTAAGAAACTGATCTCAGGAAAGAAAAGGAAGGAATCCAAGATTCTAAAGTGAGTACAGTTGACTCTTGAACAACACAGGGGTTAGGGGTGCTGACCCCCTCCCCATGCAGTTGAAAATCCATGGGTAACTTTTGATTCCTCAAAAACTTCATTAATAGCCTCCTGTTGACCAGAGGCCTTCCTGATAACATAAATAGTTGGTTAACATATATTTTGTATGGGCAGCACCTGGGTGGCTCAGTTGGTTAAGCAACTGACTCTTGATTTCAGCTCAGGTCATGATCTCAAGGTTGTGAGATAGAGCTCCATGCTTGGCATGGAGCCTGCTTAAGATTCTCTCTCTCCCTCTCCCTCTGCCCCTCTCCCCCACTCTCTCTCTCAAAACAAAACAAAACAAAACAAAACATATATTTTGTATGTAATATGTATTATATACTGTATTCTTACGATAAAATAACCTAGAGAAAAGAAAAAATGTTAAGAAAATCATAAGGAAGAGAAAACATATTTACAGTACTGTACGTATTTATATATAAAAAAATCCACATTTAAGTGGACCTGCACGGTTCAAATTCATGTTGTTCAAGGGTCAACTGTAATGGGTTTTTTTTCCAGACATGGCTTTTTAAAAATTTTAATTCCAGTATAATTAGTGTACAGTGTTATAGTACTTTCAGGTATACAATATAGTGATTCAGCAATTTTATACATTACTCATTTCTCATCATGATAAGTGTACTCTTAATTTCCTTCACCTATTTCACCCATCCCCCTACCCCCCATCTTCCCTCTGGTAACCATCAGTTTGTTCTCTATAGTTAAGAGTCTGTTTTTTTATTTATCTCTTTTTTCTTTGTTCCTTTGTTTTATTTCTTAAATGCCACATTTGAGTGAAGTCATATGGTATTTGTCTTTTTCTGACTGACTTTTTCACTTAGCATTATACCCTCTAGATCTATCCATGTCATTGCAAATGGCAAGATTTCACTCTTTTTTATGGCTGAGTAATATTCTACCATATATTTACACCACCTCTTCTTTATCCATTCATCTCTGGATACTTGGGTTGCTTCCATAATTTGGCTTTTGTAAATAATGTTGCAATAAACATAGGGGTGCATATATCTTTTCAAATTAGTATTTTCATATTCTTTGGCTAAATACCTAGTAGTGCGATTGCTGGATCATACAGTAGTTCTATTTTTAATTTTTTGAGGACCCTCCATACTGTTTTCCATAGTGTTGCACCAGTTTACGTTCCCATCAACAGTACAGGAAGGTTCTCCACATCCTCACCAACACTTGCTGCTTTTTGTATTTTTGAATTTAGTCATTCTGACAGTTGTGAGGATATAGCTCATTGTGGTTTTGATTTACATTTCCCTGATGATGAGTGATGTTGAGCATTTTTTCATGTATCTGTTGGCCATCTGAATGTCATCTTTGGAGAAATGTCTGTTCATGTCTTCTGCCCATTTTTTAATTGGATTATTGGGGTGTTTTGGTGTTGAGTTGTATAAGTGCTTTATCTATTTTGGATACTAACCCCTCATTGAATATGTCATTTGCAAATATCTTCCCTCATTCAGTAGGTTGTCTTTTAGTTTTGTTGTTTTCTTTGCTGTTTTTTATTTTGATGCAGTCCCAGTAGTTTATTTTTGCTTTTGTTTCCCTTGTCTTAGAAGACATATCTAGAAAAATGTTGCTATGGCTGATGTCAGAGAAATTACTGCCTGTCCTCTTTTCTAGGATTTTTATGGTTTCCTATTTCATATTTAGGTCTTTAATCCATTTTGAGCTCATTTTTGTGTATGGTGTAAGAAAGTGGTCCAGTTTCATTCTTTTGCATGTAGCTGTTCATTTTTCCCAACACCATTTACTGGAGAGACTTTTTCCCATTGCATAGTCTTGCTTCCTTTGTCAAAGATTAATTGGCCATATAATTGGGAGTTTATTTCTGGGTATTCTATTCTGTTCCATTGATCTATGTGTCTTTTTTTGTGCCAGTACCATACTGTCTTGATCACTACGGCTTTGTAATATAGCTTGAAGTCCAGAATTGTGATGCCTTGAGCTTTGCTTTGCTTTTTTCAAGATTGCTTTGGCTATTTAGGATCTTCAGTTATTCCACACAAATTTTAAGATTATTTATCTAGTTTTTTGAAAAATGCTGTTGATATCTGATAGGGATTGTATTAAATCTGTAGATTTCTTTGGGTGATATAGACATTTTAACAATATTTGTTCTCCTAATCCATGAGCATGGGATGTCTTTCCATTTGTTTGTGTCATCATTTTGAAGTGTACAATTCAGTGGCATCAAATACATTCATAATTTTGTCATCATCCTGAACGGACACTCTGTTAGGCCATAACTCCTCACTCCTACCCACCCCCAATCCCTGGTAACTTCTACTTTCTGTTCCTATGAGTTTGCCTATTCTCTATTTCATATAAGGGGAATTATACAGTACTGTGTCTGGCTTATTTCACGCTGCAGCCTGAAACAGGTGTTCATTAATGCTCATCTCACTGTGGCATCCCCTTTGAGACATTGCAAACCTCTGCACCACCAAGCCTGATCAGCTGCCAATCCCACTGGTGCCTCTACAACAGTTGGCTTTTCCATCCAGTCCCAGTCCAGCCCCATGCTGTAATGTCATCCAGCCCAACACTGTCAGACAAGTATTCTTCAAACACCAATACCACCCCTTCTGTTCAGGAGCCTTCAGTGCCTCCCTGCCCCTGCCCCTCTCAATCCCTGACTATAGGTGAAGCCCAGAATCCTCATCCTGGCATTTAAGGTCTTCTATGATCTTTATCAATCAGCCTTTGTATCCTTGGATCCATGGCTAAGTGAAGATTTTGATAAGAGGAGGGTTGACAGAATACAAGCATGTTGGACATGTGACTGAGCAAAAGGCATCACCAGAGAGGTAGAGAGTGACACAAAGCAGGGACACCAGCAGCACAGAGAAAAGCTGTAGGTTCTCACCAGGGCTGGCATGCCTGTGGGAGAGGCTGTTCTTCTGTTTACCCCTCTTCCAGCTTTATTGAGCTGTAATTGACATACAACATTGCATAAATTTAAGGTGTACAGTATATTGATTTGATACACTTCTATATTGCAAAATGATACCTGCCATAGAGTTCGTCAACACCTCCATCATATCACATAATTACCATTTCTTTCTCTTTTTTTTTTGTGGTGAGAACATTTAAGAGTGACTCTCTTAACAGCTTTAAAATATATTATAAAGTATTAAATCAGGGAGACTCAATTCCCGTAACAACTACCCTCCCTCCTCCACCCCCATCTAGTCTCCATCTTCTCTCCACATTCCCCATCCTCCATCGTCCCTCTTACATCCTTCTCCTTTCTCCCTCTTCCTCTTCCTCCTGCTTTCCTCCCCTTGCCTTCAGCTTGCAGCTTCCATCCATATGCCCATCTGATGGTCTTGTCCTTCATGATTGTGTCTTGTGTGAGGCCCTGTGGATACAGAGCTACAAGCCATAGACCCTGCCTTCAAGTTTCTTACAATCTGCTTAGTGAAATGAGGCTCACACAGCAAAGAACCACTAACAAAACAGCCAGATGTTAGAACCAGGTGAGTGGCGCAGGCAACAGCATGTAGGATCAGAGCAGAGAGGTGAGCATGGCCAGGGCAGTGGAGCCTCCCTGAGGGGATAATTGAGGCATAAATTGAACACTGAAAGGAGAGGCATCCTCAGGGGAGGAAGGAGGTGAAGTGGTGTGAGCCAAGACCGGAGGCAGGAATGTGCAGTGGATTTGGTCATGCTGGCTGCCATCAGAGTGCCATGCTGAGGGGGCTGGACAAGATGGCCTGGGCAGAGCAGCCTCTGCAGCCTCACTGCACAGACTCGGAGACGAGAAGCTCTGGGGGCCGGCTAAGGAAGGGTCACACCATAGATGAGTGAATGAGTCCACCAGTTTGGATTGCAGTCTAAGATTCATGACCACATAATTTCTTTGACTATAATTTATGATTCATTGTGATTTACGGCAGACTCAGAGTTCTGAATCTCCAGTTACCCTTGGGGATTTGAGGGGACCATAGTCACATCTAAACTCAAGGGGGCATGTCAGGGAGGTAGATGGGCAAGACTCAGGACTAGTGTTTAGGAGACCTGACACCAAGCTGGTTGTGCCTCCAAACAGCTGTGTGACCCTGGGCAAGTCACTTGCCCTCTCTGGGTCACATATTCTGTATTGGAAAATGGGAGGCTAGGACTAGTTCAGAGGTTTTCCAATGATGACTAGCCAGAGCCCCAGTATGGAAAGCAGATGAAAAGGGACTGTCAGTTGCTACCCTTTGCCCACAGTGACCTTTAGGAGATGAGCCTAAAAGTCATTAGATCAGCAGGGTGCCTAGCTGGCTCAGTGGGTAGAGCTTGTGACTCTTGATCTAGGCATTGAAAATTCGAACCCTACCGTGGGTGTAGAGATTACTTAAAAAAAAAAAAAAAAGTCACTGGAGCAAGTTTCTTCAAACTAACTTTTTGTGACAACAAAATCCAGGACACCTAGGATCATACTCCTGGTCTATCTAAAGGGGGCCTGTAATTCCAGGTCTATTTGTGAGAAAAGAATAGTTGGTGGGCACCTGGGTGGCTCAGTTGGTTAAGCGACTGCCTTCAGCTCAGGTCATGATCCTGGAGTCCTGGGATCAAGTCCCGCATTGGGCTCCCTGCTCAGCAGGGAGTCTGCTTCTCCCTCTGACCCTCGCCCCTCTCATGCTCTCTCTATCTCATTGTCTCTCTCAAATAAATAAATAAAATCTTAAAAGAAAAAAAAACAAACAAAAAAAACCCAAAACCAAACAAACAAACAAAAAAGAATAGTTGGTTTTCAACTAAGTACCCCCCCACACACATACAAAACATTCTTGGCTTTATTTTTTTTTTTTTTTACGTTCCTAGCTTTAAATAAAAATCCATCACGGCTCAATTGTATATAACCCATCCTTATTTATTTTTCTCCAAGATATTGGACATAGCACTGACTATGGATAAGAGTTTTGCTGATTACCCTAAAGACACAAAAAGAAATGGGGCATTCTATCCTCTTTCCAAATGTATGCCATTCTTTTTCTTACACAATTCTCATGCTCTTTTTCAATACTAGGTTTTCCATTTTAATGTGAAGTTTAAACGAATCTCCCAACACTTTTATGGTTATGCTTTTCTTGTATCCTACTATTTTCTGTGCTTTACCCCACCGCTCACCAGCGCTGGTGAGAAGAGAGAAAGGGTTAGAATTTTCACTTCAATGGGCTGGTCCTTGCCAATGATAATAAAAAGCATGCAAAGACTGACTGGCCGAGATGGATGAGGAGAAGCAGTGATCTGTGGGCTGGGTGAGGTGCGCTCATGGGAGCCCCATTACATGCCCCGTTACATTCCCACACTGTTCTTACTTTCTGTTCTCTAAAATACTAGAGAAACCTCTGCCAGTCTGTAGGCCACTAAATCTAATCTGCCTGTCCCTTTTCACCACCCCAGGAAAAAAGAGGAAGATTTGCAGACCTATTGGATGCTAAATATTTACGGACCACGTTACAGATCTGGGTCATATGGTAAGAATGTAATTATTTCAAAATGACTTTTCAATAAACACAGAGCCCACTTAAGTAAATCCACACAGTGCCAGGGGTATCCTTACAAAACCACAAGGCTGAGTCCAGCAATGTCTTATCTTTCTGCTATCACCACCAACCAACCAATAAATAAACCTTTTTTTTTTTAAAAGGAGAAAGAAATTATTGATGACTAGATTTTTATTTTTCGTATGAGGTCACTTTCTAACCTTTTGTAGTCTGGCCTTTTTCCTCACCACATGACAAAGTGATCCTTTGAAGTTACCAGTAATCAAATTCAATGGAATAGACTCTGGTGGTTTTCTTTGTGCCTCACTCTCTGCAGCCATGACCTTGAATACACAAAGATTTTCTAAACAAGATACAAAAAGTGCTACTCCATTAAATTAGGAACTCTGAGCCATGAGATACCATGAGGAATCTGAAAGGTAAGGTCACCAAATGGGGAGAAGAAATTTCTAAAATACCTACCAAATAAATTTTTATATATATACAACTATAGCTATATATAAAATTATATGTATATAATTTTTTCCAACAAGAAAAAGATACACAAACCAGTAGAGAAATAGGCAAGAGACTTGAACTGGCACTTGACCAAAAATTAGATCAAAAAATATATGAAAACATGCTCAACCTTAAAGTCACCAGGGAAATGCAAATTAAAACCAATGAGACCGTTACAAATCCACTGGAATGGCTAAAATTAAATTAACTATACCAATTAACTAACTAATTAGATTAACTATAGCAAGTGTTGGGAAGAATGTAAAGTAATGGAACTCTCATGCACTGCTGACTGGAGTTCAAATTAAAACCACTTTGGAAAACTATTTAGAGGTATTTATCACAGTTGAAAATATGCATAGCCTATGACTCAGTAATTCCATTTGTAGCTTTATACCCAACAGAAATGCATACATGTGTTTACCAAAATACATTTGTATGAATGTCCTTAGCATTATTTTATTTGTAACAGCCCCAAACTCTAAACCACCCACATGTCCATTCACAGTATAATGGATACACTGTGTTACAATCATAAAATGGAATACTATACAATAATGGGAAAGAGAAAACTAGTTATCTACATTCAACATGGCTGAATCTTACAAACATCATAAGGAGCAGAGGAAGCCAGACACACAGATACATATTCTGTGATTCCATTTATATAAAGATAGAAAGCAGGCAAAACTAATCTATAGTGTTTAAATTCAGGGAAGTGTTTGTCTATCTGCCTTTCTCAGATAAAATCATTATTAATAGGCTGGTATGTTGCCTCTTAAGACTTTAATTTTTAAAATATTCTCAATATTTGGAAATTGAACTAGAGCTACTTTATTTTTTTTTTAAAGATTTTATTTATTTATTTGAGAAAGAGAGAGAGCCCAAGCAGGGGGAGCAGCAGTGGGAGGGGGAGAAGCCGGCTCCCCACTAAGCAGAGAGCCCCACGCGGGGCTCAATCCCAGGACCCCAGGATCATGACCCGAGCCAAAGGCAGACACTTAACTGACTGAGTCACCCAGGCGCCCTGAACTAAAGCTACTTTAATAACGAGGGGAAGTATTGTAATTATTGGGGTTTTTTGATACTTTGTTATGACACAAATGCACACAAAAGTAGAGGTACCGTGATGACCCCTGATTGATCCATCGCCCATATCTGACAGTCACTGACAGTCGCTCATAGTTGCTTTGGCTGTGTTTTCCTGTGCTGACATACTTTGAAGCAAGCCCAGGCTCCGTGACATTTCATCCCGATACTTCATTAAGAGTCTCAACTACTCGAGGACATTTTCTTAGATGATTCCATTCCCATAATTAACAGACCAGTTTAACAAGCATCTCCCTAATATCGGCTGATACCCAGAACATTGGCACTTTCCCCTGGTTGTCCCTCGACGCTGTTGACGGCTGGCTTTGGCAACCACTTCTGTGAAGCTAAGAGGGGCACGTGTGGAATTTCGGGGGGGGCTGATATTTCTTTCCTTGACTTTGATACATGAACTTTTCTGTATGTTATTATAATTTTATCTCAACACAAATATTTATTAAAGAATAGACAGAAAAAAGACAGGAAGTACATATAAAGAAAAAGCAACCCTCCCCCCCCCCCGTGGCTCTTCATGGCCTTTTGTTTTTTATTTTTTAAAAATTTTATTTATTTATTTGACAGAAAGATTGGGAACACAAGCAGGGGGAGTGGGAGAGGGAGAAGCAGGCTTCCCGCGGAGCAGGGAGCCCGATGTGGGGCTCAATCCCAGGACCCTGGGATCATGACCTGAGTGGAAGGCAGAAACGTAACAACCGAGCCTCCCAGGTGCCCCTCCTGGCCTTTAAAGATGCTTTGGGACTGGCAGAATTCTAAAGATCACTCTCTGCCCGCCCCCTCCCCCCCCCCCCCGCAAGATTACCAACTCCTGTTGATTTAATCACACACTAATTTGGGTGCTGGTGTGAAGGGACCGTATAGATGTAATTAAGGTTACGGGCCTTAAAATACAGAGGGTATCCTGGATTAAACAGGTGGGCCCAATCCAATCACTTGAGTCTTTAAAAGTAGAGAGATTTCTCCAGCTGGGAATACAGATGGAGCAGAAGAGAAAGCACGAGGTGAGGCGGGAGGAGAGATTCCAGAGCAGAAGGACCCGGCTCAGTGTACCTGGCTGTGAAGACAAGGAAGAAAGGAAGCCTGTAGAAACCGAGAGCAACTGGTCAAGAGTAGCAAGGGGATGGAGCCCCATGGAGTTGAATTCGGCCCCGGCTCGGGGAAGATTCTGCCCCCGTCCCCAGCAAGGCCTAAGGCCCTGCCTATACTGGCATTTCTGCCCCTGGGAGCCTCACGGCAGAGAAATCAGCCAGACCCACACAACTTCTGGCCTACAGAACGGAGCACGTAGATGTGTGTTCTTTTCAGCCACCGAGTTGGTGCTAATTTGTTAGAGCGGAGACAGAAAGGGAGTCCAAGCTTCAAATTTCCTTCACCGGCTGCGGGGTCCTCCCGGATCCGGCCCCAGGCTGCGCTTGCAAATCCCTTTCCCGCCCAGGTTCCCCTGCACGCCTCCCTCGGGCTCCCCAGGAGAGGTGCGCCCAGCCTTTGGCGCCCTCCGCACCTGATGCACCCCCCCACCTGACCACTCTCCGCCTTGCCCCCTCTTCTCCCCACCTCTCCCCAGCTCTGCTGGCGCCGCCCCTCCTTCAGGCCGGGGGCAGCTTTCTAATGAGCGGCTTCTCTCCCTTCCAGGCTGGGAATCTCTTTCGCCTACTACGGCGTCATCCTGGCCAGCGCCGAGCTGCTGGAGCGGGACCTGGTGTGTGGCTCGCGGTCCGAGTCCGAGTCCGCGGTGGCCGTAACCCTGCCGGACACAGAGGAGAGCCACAGCCCCTGCCACTGCCACGTGTTTGCTCCCTCCGACTACCGGACCATGATTATCAGCACCGTTGGCGAAATTGCTCGTAAATGTGGACCTCGGTGTTTTGGGCCCCTGTCTGTTTGGGGTGGGGGAGCCTGTCCTAGACGGGCTCCTGCCTGGCAGAACTGAACAGGTCCCCTCCCCTTCCTTGCTCATGTGTCTCCAATGCAGATTGGTGTGGGGAGAAGTCTGCAGGAGTAGAGCTTTGAATTACTATATTCTATCAATTCTAAGATGCATTCCCCCCACCCCCCACTTCGGACGTTTCCGAAATTGAGATGTCTTACAATGGCTCCTTAGATTTCAATTTGCGGCACTGTTTGCATTTTAGTAGACATAAAATAATAGTACTTAAAAATCAGTGGCCCTGTAAATTTGATGAGAAACAGTAAAACCATTTAAAATATAGACCTAGCAGGTTTGCAATTAACGATAGACCTACGTGTTATAATCATCTTGGGCATAAAATACCCTTTATATACACACCAGTGCTTGTCCTTCTTTGACCCACGAGGAAAAAGCATGGGGAAGGAGTCATGAACTGGATGACCATGGGACTGGGTTTTGGCTGGAACACACATGAGGCTCGGATGAAGTTGCCGCTTTCTGAAATGACCAGGAGGAATTCTTGCCAGTGTTTGTAAATACCACTTGCTTTCGAGGTTTCAGAAATTGTCATTGTCATTTGTTTTCTAGTGAATCCTTTCAATATCCTGGGCATCAATTTCCTGGGAAGACGGCTGAGCCTTTCTATCACCATGGGATGCACAGCCTTATTCTTCCTCCTCCTCAACATTTGCACATCAAGGTATTTTTCTCTCTGATTGCTTGAAAATAATCTAGGTTTGTGCAGTGGGTTTAAGTTGTGGTTTCCTGACCCATAGTGTTCAGTGGGCATCGGGGCAAGTCCCTTTCACCGGGGGAGTAGTGAATGGGCGGCTGCTGGTTTGACTGGAATGGGTCTTTCCTGGCACCTGCCGCTCCCCCTTCCCTCTTGCACACACCCGGCCCTGCCTCAGCTCTCCCAGGATACAGGTGCTAATGCAGCTACAATCCCTCCAGCCGCCAAGATACTTAGGATCTTTATGCTAAGCTTCGTGGAACGTCAGGACTCTAGTTGTTTACCAAATTATCTGGACTGTTGTTACAGTAGTTCAGGGAAATAGGTAACCTACTTGTGGTGTAAAAATTTATTTCACTCTTTAATTTGCAATCTTAGGATGTCCTCAATGGCAATCTATATCCTTCTGCGAACAGCATCATTTTTGGAGGGTGGTAGCCGAAGGTGGGCTAATCTGGGGGGGCCAGGCTGGAACAGTACACTTGGGGGAGTGGGAAGGACAGATGGGGATTGGGTTGAAGATTGGGGTCCAGCATTTATTTTAGGACCCCACAATCAGGCCAGGTGAGAAGCAGCACCTTCCCGGGACCCGGTTATCTGTGGGCATGTGTCCGCATTTCTAATGCTAAGCTGTGTAACGTGAGCACCTGTCAAGGCCATGGAAAGCCCTCCATGCTGCCTTTCCTAACGTCTCTGGCATCTTGTTCCCTAGCTCTGGCCTGACAGGCTTCCTCTTCATGCTGAGGGCTTTGGTGGCAGCCAACTTCAACACCATCTACATTTACACTGCTGAGGTGAGTTGTGGGTTGGTTACTCCAAGACTTGCACGGCGAGCTACTTAGGGTGTCTGTCCATTGAAGACGCATCCTAGCTTCTGTTGACTTTTGACAATTTTCTAAAAGCACTCCAAGAAAATGCTAGCAGGCGGTTTGATAGTTTGCTCTGTAGAGTCTACTGAAAGCCAGTGTATGAGAGGACATTTGAGGACCCACCTGTCTCATGACACAGCATGCATGTAAAAAATCACCTCCTTGTCCTAGCTCCATGTTGTGTTCCCCTCCATCTGTTATTTGCCACATGTAGCTTAAATTTGAATATCATAGCCTAAATTTGATATTCTTTATTGAATTAATACATCTATTGTATGCAGGGCACTACCTGAAGGAGCTAGAGAATTTCCTCAAACACCCACCTTAAAGAGCTAGTTTTCCTAGAAGTAATATGTGAACAGAAAACTTAACAGTATTTTAATTGGTTTTGTCCTTCATTGAGCTAGAGAAAGTGGCACTACAGAGGCTGGTAAAGCTGTGCTCATTTTCTTCCCCTGCCCCCAAGTTTTTATTTCAATTCTACTTAGTTAACATACTAATATTAGTTTCAGGTGTACAATATAGAGATTCAACACTTCCATAAAACACCCGGTGCTCATCACAAGTGCACTCCTTAATTCCCATCACCTGTTTCCTTCATCCCCCCCCCTCCCCCCGTAACCAATCAATGTGTTCTCTATAGTTAAGAGTCTGTTTCTTGGTTTGTCTCTCTTTCCTTTACCCCCATGTTCATTTGTTTTGTTTCTTAAGTTCCACATAGGAGTGAAATCATACGGTATTTGTCTTTCTCTGACTGATTTCCCTTAGCATAATATTCTTCATAGCTCCATCCATGTTGTTGCAAATGGCAAGTTTTCATTCTTCTTGATGGCTGAATAATATTCCATTGTAGATCTATACCACATCTTTATTCATCAGTCGCTGGACATTTGAGCTCTTTCCATAATTTGGCTATTGTGGACATTGCTGCTATAAACATTGGGGTGCATGTATCCTTTCAAATTAGTATTTTTGGGTAAATACCTAGTAGTGCAATTGCTGGATCATAGGATAGTTCTATTTTTAACTTTTTGAGGAACCTCTATACTGTTTCCAGAATGGCTGCACCAGTTTGCATTCCCACCAACAGTGTAGGAGGGTTCTCCTTTCTCCGTATCCTCCCCAACCCCTGTTGTTTCCTGTGTTGTTAATTTTAGCCATTTTGACAGGTGTGAGGTGGGATCTCATTGTGATTATGATTTGCATTTCATGATGAGTGGTGTTGAGCATCTTTTCATATATCTGTTGGCCATCTGTATGTCTTTGGAAAAATGTCTATTCTGCCCATTTTTTAACTGGATTATTTTGGTTTGGGTGTTGAGTTTGATAAATTCTTTATATCTTTTGGATACTAACCCTTTATCAGGTATGTCATTAGCAAATATCTTCTCCCATTCCGAAGGTTGTCTTTTAGTTTGGTTGATTGTTTGCTATGCAGAAACTTTTTATTTTATGTAGTCCCAATAGTTTATTTTTGTTTTTGTTTCCCTTGCCTCAGGGGACATATCTAATAAGAAGTTGATATGGCCGATGTCAGAGAAGTGACTGCCTGTGTTCTCCAGGATTTAAATGGTTTCCTGTCTCACATTTAGGGCTTGCATCCATTTTGAATTTATTTTTGTGTATGGTGTAAGAAAGTGGTCCAGTTTCATTCTTCATGTTGCTGTCCAGTTTTCCCAACACCTTTTGTTGAAGAGATCTTTTTTTCCATTGTATAGTCTCTCCTGCTTTGTCAAAGATTAATTGATCATACAGTTTCTGGGCTCTCTGTTCCATTGATCTATGTGTCTGTTTTTATGTCAGTACCATACTGTCTTGATCATTACAGCTTGTAATATAGCTTGAAGTCCAGAATTATGATGCCTCCAATTTTGCTTTTCTTTTTCAAGATTGCTTTGGCTATTTAGGGTCTTTTGTGGTTCCATACAAATTTTAGGATTATTTCATCTAGCTCTGTGAAAAATACTGGTGGTATTTTCATAGGGATTGCATTAAATGTGTGATTGCTTTGGGTAATATAGGCATTTTAACAATATTTGTTCTTCCAATCCATGAGCATGGAATGTTTTTCCATTTCTTTGTGTCATCTTCAATTCCTTTGACCAGTGTTTTGTAGTTTTCAGAGTACAGGTCTTTGACTTTGGTTAGGTTTATTCCTAGGTATCTAACGGGTTTTGGTGCAATTGCAAATGGGATCAATTTCTTGATTTCTCTTTCTGCTGCTTCATTATTGGTGTATAGAAATGCAACAGATTCCTGTATATTGATTTTGTATGCTGCCATGTTATTGAATTTGTGTATCCGTTCTAGCAATTTTTTGGTGGAGTCTTCTGAGTTTTCTATAGAGTATCACATCTGCAAACAGTGAAAGTTTGACTCCTTCCTTGCCAATTTTGATGCCTTTTATTTCTTTTTGTCTGATTGCTGAGGCTAGGACTTCCAGTACTATGTTAAATAACAGTGGTGAGAGTGGACATTCCTGTCTTGCTCCTTACTGTAGAGGAAAAGCTCTCAATTTTCCTCGATGAGAATGGTACTAGCTGTGGGTTTTCATATATGGCCTTTATTATGTTGAGTTATGTTCCCTCTAACCCTGCTTTGTTGAGGGTTTTTATCATGAATGGGTGTTGAAAGGATCCTATGGTTCTTACTCTTTTATTAATGTGGTGTATGTATCCAGTTGATGGATGTGCAAGTGCTGAACCACCTTTGAAGCCAAGGAATAAATCCCACTTGATAGTGGTGGATGATTATTTTAATGTATTGTTGGATTCTATTTGCTAGTATTTTATTAAGAATTTTTGTACCCGGGCGCCTGGGTGGCTCAGTTGGTTAAGCGACTGCCTTCGGCTCAGGTCATGATCCTGGAGTCCCGGGATCAAGTCCCGCATCGGGCTCCCTGCTCGGCAGGGAGTCTGCTTCTCCCTCTGACCCTCCCCCCTCTCATGTGCTCTCTCTCTCTCATTCTCTCTCTCAAATAAAATCTTAAAAAAAAAAATTTTTTTTGTACCCATGTTCATCAAAGATATTGGCCTGTAGTTTTTTAGTGGAATCATTTGTTTTGTTTGTCAACATACATTACCTCATTAGTTTTTTATTTTATTATGTTACATTAATCACCATACATTACATCATTAGTTTTTGATGTAGTGTTCCATGATTCATTGTTTGCACATAACACCCAGTGCTCCATGCCTTCTTTAATACGTGCCTTCTTTAATACCCATCACCAGGCTAACCCATCCCCCCACCCCACCCCCTCCCCTCTAGAACCCTCAGTTTGTTTCTCAGAGTCCATAGTCTCTGATAGTTTGTCCCCCACCTCCGACTTCCCCCCCATTCATTTTTCCCTTCCTACTATCATCTTCTTTTTAACATATAATGTATTATTTGTTTCAGAAGTACAGGTCTGTGATTCATCAGTCTTACACATTTCACAGTGCTCACCATAGCACATATCCCCCCCAGTGTCCATCACCCAGCCACCCCATCCCTCCCACCTCCTTCCACTCCAGCAACCCTCAGTTTTTTTCCTGAGATTGAGTCTCTTATGGTTTGTCTCCCTCTCTGGTATCATTTTGTTTCAATTTTCCTCCCGTCCTCTATGATCCTCTGTCTTGTTTCTCAAATTCCTCATATCAATGAGATCATATGATACTTGTCTTTCTGATTGACTTATTTCCCTTAGCATAATATGCTCTAGGTCCATCCATGTCATTGCAAATGGTAAGATATTGTTGTTGTTGTTTTTGATGGCTGCATAATATTCCATTGTGTATGTGTGTGTATGTATATATACACCACACATTTTTTTTTTGTAGTTTTTAATTTTATTATGTTAGTCACCATACAATACATCATTAGTTTTTGATGTAGTGATCCACGATCCATTGTTTTCATATAACACCCAGTGCTCCATGCAGTACGTGCCCTCCTTAATACCCATCACCGGGCTAACCAATCTCCCCTCCCCCCTCCCCTCTAAAACCCTGTTTGTTTCTCAGGTCCATAGTCTCTCATGGTTCATCTCTCTCTCCAATTCCCCCTGCCCATTTTTCCCTTCCTTCTCCTAATGTCCTCCATGTTATTCCTTATGTTCCACAAATAAGTGAAACCATATGATAATTGACTTTCTCTGCTTGACTTATTTCACTTAGCATAATCTCCTCCAGTCCCATCCATGTTGATGTAAAAGTTGGGTATTCATCCTTTCTGATGGCTAAGTGATATTCCATTGTATATATGGACCACATCTTCTTTATCCATTGATCTGTTGAAGGGCATCTTGGCTCTTTCCACAGTTTGGCTATTGTGGACGTTGCTGCTATGAACATTGGGGTGCATATGGCCCTTCTTTTCACTACATCTGTGTCTTTGGGGTAAATACCCAGGAGTGCAATTGCTGGGTCATAGGGTAGCTCTATTTTTAAATTTTTGAGGCACCTCCACACTGTTTTCCAAAGTGGCTGTACCAACTTACATTGCCACCAACGATGTAAGAGGGTTCCCCTTTCTCCACAACCTCTCCAACATTTGTTGTTTCTTTCCCTGTCCATTTTGGCCATTCTAACTGGTGTAAGGTGGTATCTCAGTGTGGTTTTGATTTGGATTTCCCTGATGGCTAATGATGATGAACATTTTTTCTGTTATGTCTGTTAGCCATTTTGTATGTCTTCAGAGAAGTGTCTGTTCATCTCTTCTGCCCACTTTTTGACTTGATTATTTGTTTTTTGGGTGTTAAGTTCTTTATAGATTTTGGATACCAGCCCTTTATCTGTAGTGTCATTTGCAAATATCTTCTCCCATTCTGTGGGCTGCCTCTTTGTTTTGTTGACTGTTTCCTTTGCTGTGCAGAAGCTTTTTATCTTGAAGTCCCAAAAGTTCATTTTTGCTTTTGTTTCACTAGCTTTTGGAGATGTATCTTG